GTGCTTTCTCTAGCCTGATCAGTCTTGGTCCCATTCTGCACACCAGCACACTTGCAAGATGAGGGGGGAAAGTGTGCTCAGCTCAGTAGAGCATAGAGCATGAGGGCATCAGCATGGTCTTGGGAATCCATAGATGTAAACCTCAACATCCCCAATGACAGGGATGAGTAACTTGTACTGAAAACAGGGTGTCTTAACCCCAAACTGTGCCTGCTAGGGCGCAGCAGCATGTAAATTTCCTAACATTTTTTCTAACAGAAAGCAGAGTCTGTCTCAACTTTTTGTGTGGATTTTAGTTCAAAGCATTAGATGTGCACCAGGCTTGCCCACCAGACAGAAGGGGTAGGTGTAAGTATGCTTACACCTGGGCTGTTGATAAGGTAGGAGGCAGTGTCAAACTGTTCAGCATTAAGACCGATGCACACATCTGCATATACTCCAAGAAATCTTGAAACTTCAAAGTGAAAAAATAAGCTGAGGCACCTACTGAGTGCTGTCAGTGGGAGCCATGAAATACAGTAGGTGACTCTGTACTTAGCATAAATCCTGATTTAGTACCTCTTAGGTCCCCATGTCTGAATTCTTCCTTCTTTACTCATCTCAGCTGTTCTGTATCAGTCCATCACTTGCCATCCAGACATTAATGTCTCATGTGATTAGTAATTACCCTGAAATGCTCCTTTAGAAGTAACCCATAACTCCACAAAATTTGCATAAAAACGAGCAAAAAGAGCAGTCTATTTTGCTTCTTCCTAAAAAGATACCTGACCTCCTTTCAGCATCTCCTTACTTTCCACTTAGCGGTATATGAATTTAGCCATTAATTCCACCAAGATGTATCTGCACTTTACCTTCTACAAGTAAGCAATCCCAATGTGAAATCAATCCTTATCTGAGGCAGAGATCATAAACCCCAGCCTTAACTATATATAGGGTCATTGAAATCAATAAAGCCATCCCAAATCAAACTGGCAGATGGTCTTGTTTAAGTCTCTTTAATCTAGACCATTTCAACCTGTCGTGAAGGAACAGAGTGAGGCAGTGAACATTTCCTGTATTGTATGTTGTCTTTTGTCTAAGTAAGCTACTGCTTACTCTAGTGACTACAAGGGCTTATGGAGCTTTGTGACATATCCTCACTGTCACATCATTTGAAATAGTATGATTAAAAGAAATTTATTAATTTCTCAAATACTTATCAGGTCTAACACAGACACAGGAAAAACAAGCTTATATTAATTTTATAAACCTGTCACTTAACAATTTCATCTCCCTGAGACTAAATATTAAATAGAAATGCTGCATTAAATCTCCAAAGCTTGTTGCATTTAATATAAATTATTTAGAGTTCATTACCACAAATATATACTAATGAGATCCCTTTGGTATTACAAAAATATACCGGTTAATTACAGAGCCTACATTTACTCATGGGATATGTCTTTCTTTACATGTATAGAGATTTTCCCTTACAGTTAAGCACACTAGATACAAATGAAGTTCTAAATACAAGTTAACAAAATTTGTCATTATAGATTGGGAAGTGTTTCTTGACAGTTTTCCATGTTACAGGTGAGAAAACCAGAGCACAACAGTATCACCAGGCCACCCAGCAGGCCAGTGCTTGCTGCCAAATACTGAACCAGGAGAAACCTGGAACATTTAAGGCACTTCTATAAAGCAAATACTTCATTCCAAGTCAATCTGGTCTGAAATGAACTATTCCTCCATTTTAGATTTTCTCAATGGAAATTGGTTTGGGATTTTCAGCTCGCTCTGAAACTCCCCATGAAAACATATGTTTTCATATGCACACTTTGTTGCAGCAGAATGAAAAATATTATTGGATGTTTTGTACTCTGATAGAGAATGCAAAACTGTACTGCAATGACTCCAACCCCACTTCAACTCCATAGCAGAAGAAGTGTGCTCCACTGAACTACCATCACAACTTCCTTCAGAGCAGGGAACTCTTTGGAAGATTGGCAATTTCTGCCTGACTGTGGCATCCTTTGCTGAGCTGACAGAATTGGTACAAAGTAGCACATGGCAGTGAGCCATAAAAAGCAAAGCATTTCTGAACTATTACAGCACGTTTTGTCGACGCTGGGAGACACAAGGCTACAGTCCAAGTGCTTAGCCACTTGAGAAGTGCAATTATGTGCTGGAAGTGCATTGCCTGGAACGATCCCTCTTATGAAATGGAAATTAACCCACTAAAATAGGAAATAATAAAAAAATAAAATTAAGAAAATAAAAAGAGTTCCTTTCTGTCTCATGTTGTTTGTTAGAAACTCCGTATCAATCCCACTGCTTCTTTCCTCTTTACCCAGTTTACCCAAATTGAGGTAACCAGAGGTTATTCCTGTCCTACCCTTTCTACAGGCATGCTTAAAATGTGTGAAAACATAATCGTTACCTTTACGCTGCACCACTGTGCAGCACCATTACTCATGCCTGTATGTCTCCTTGTGTCTTTTCAACAGCACCTTATCTCACATTTATTCCATGCATTCATGCCAGAAAAACTCTGGGAATATATCTCAGTCCTCAGTTCTTCATGTATCCTTGCTCAATGTCTTATGGTCTACTCTCATAACTCAGTATATCATGACTGCCTGTGTAGCCACCACTTCTCCAGTATGTTTACATGATAAAGGGTGCATGAAGCCAGGAGTCCATTGCATTTGAGTTACAGCTACTGCCTAAAAGCTTATGTAAGTGCAAGTTCTCCTTTCCAAGGCTGCTATACCAGAGTTCTATCCTAATTTGGGGAGCAAGTAAATGGCAAAGTATTAGCTCATAGTGATAATATCGATCTCAGCAGCTGCTGAAAAGGTAGACTTTTATATGTCTGTCTTTAAATAGAGTAAGCTGCCAAAAATCAAGCTCATAGGGGTAAACAATACACAAAACAGGGGAAAAAAAAACACTCATTTGTCAACTACATCAATAAAAGCTGTGGTAATAAACAAGCACTCAGTTCCATTACCAGAAAGAACAGTATATCTACCCTTCATGCTGCCAATTCAGAGCTAGTACAATTTCATTAAGTTTTCCAGATATTAACTTGCAATTGAATGTATCAAGCCAAACAAAAGGTTGTAGTAAAAATCATATTCATACCTCTTCACTTCAGCTCTTCTCAGCAGAATGTAAAATCAATGAAAAAAAAAGGTAATATAAAACATGAAAAACCTTTTTAAAAATTAAAAATATATAAAAGTACAAAACTTCAGAGAAGTTGTAGAAAGCAACATTAAGAGGAAACTTAAACCATCTGATACATTTCGATGCCTGAATGTCACCTATTGACATTTGAAATTTACTCTCGAGTCTCTATGCTTTTCTAAAGTGATACAAGAAGCAAGTGTTTGGAGGCAAGGTGATGAAAGGAAGGAGGCTCAAAAAAACATAAAGGGGAAGCTAGGGGAGATGAGAGCTAGGCTGAACAAAAACCTGTGGAATGAAGCCTGCAGTTAGAAAAAAAAAGGGAGGAGAAATACAAAAAACCCATCCTGCCACACACATGCATATATGCAGACAAAACTGTCTTTTCTGTTGTATGTCCTAATGACTCCCTCAGAGGAAAGGATCAACAACGTATACATAGAAATTATAAAGCTGAGTAAGAGACCAACAAAGAAAACCTATGGTAATTTAATTATCATGTCTATATAATAAATCATATTTCTTTAAAAGTCTGTCCATGAGCAAGTCTGTCCAGAGTTCTCTATTTTTTTCTGTGTGTCCAAGTGTTTGCTTGTGTAGAGAAGTAAAAGCACTTCCAATGGCTGGTTCAGAGCTTTGCATATACTGAGCAGCACACTAGGACTGGCTCTTGTGATGAAAAGGACGAAGTTATAATTTGCTTTCCCATCTTCCTGCTAACCCAGCTGTTGACTTGCAATGAAACTTAAAATTCATAGGTTTGGGGCACCCCACTCCACTGACATTCAGATTAAATGGGTTAATAGGTTAAACCACCTATTGCTTTGAAGAGCAGGGACAGCAGGGGTACACGAAGGAAAGAAAAAGGATAATGTGCAAAGGACACATTTACATGAAACAACAGAGTTAAAGACATAAAACAACCCTAAAGAAGAAAAATACACAGAACAGATCACTATTCTTCAATCAGTACCATCAGGAAAGGGAATCTGACATTGGAAAAACCTTCTTCTGAACTGGAGGAGGAAATCTTTATGTAGGGCTTGTTCCTGCTTACATTCCAATAGGTGGAAAGCTGTCATTAAGCTCAACCTGAGCAGCAGCTCTAATTCCAAGAAGCTCAAACAGAAACAGAATGAAAATGCATTTACTTCATCTTCAAGTTACTCTCTTCAGAAAATACTTCAGAATTGCTTCATATCTGAACCATTGCTGCCCTATCCATGGCTTTAATACAAAAAATCTGAATTGTTGCAATGATTTTCATCTCTGATGAGCATAAACATAATTGATTTAATTAGCAAATATACACATGCACTCACAAATCTTATTGTTCCAGCTCTCAGAATGAGAAAATGTAAATTCATTAATCCAGTAAACACAGCACAGCAAAACTGCTGTGTATTAGATCTGTTCATCACATGTACATTGTATTGAATTCACTTAGTGGACGGATAATTATGTTTCCACGTAAAAGCCATTACAAATAATAAATAATTAAATATATGCATGACTTGACAAATAATGTGCCAGGATTATGGAGATAAATCATATTTAATTCAGTAGTTGCTTCACTTCTAACAAATAATAAAGAACAGACCATTGCATGTTCTCCACCATGATACATTTACTTTATTCCAATTTCTCAAATACATAGATACCTGAACTTTTAAACTAATTTCACCCTAAGGCACTCAAAGCAAAAAATGCATTTTACCAGGTAAATAAATCCAGTTTATCTCATTTCCTTTCTCATTTCTTTCTTTATCTTGAGGAGGAATAAAAACGTCACTGCTGTGAGAGAAACTGAGTTAGTAGAAACTCTCTCTTCATGTATCCGTCTCTAGACAAGGGATAGGTTTGAAGGTCAGTTCAATGTTCTCCATTAGTACAAAGTCATATCTGCACAGCTGCAGCCTACAAAGAGTAAAAAAAGAAAAAATGTGCAGGACATAAAAAGCTGACTTTAATAGAAAAATATTTCAGTATTTGAATCATTAAGCCTCCAGTATTTACCACCCCTCAGAGATGGTACTCAGGACAAGAAGAAATGTCTTCTTGTCTCAGTTTACACCCTATTTTATGCATCACTGGAGAAGTTTTGCCAGATTGTGAACAACAACCAGGACATCTGCTGGATGGTGCAAAGTGGCCTAAGCAGTAAGTGTATCACATTAGTCTGAAATATGAAGATGCAATACTTCATCCATTAAAGCTATTAATCTGCATTAAAATTAATTCTTTAGAGCAACAGTCCCAGAACAACCCAATTCCTTTTTACACTGGGCCTGAATAATTTATTTTGAGTTCCCTAGATATGGAAGTTTCTCTGCTTTCATTCCACAGAGGAAAGTGAACAAATACATCCTAATACCTTCTAACTCTTTGGGTTCCAGTGACAGCATGTGTAAGGAAGTTTCATGTAGGAATGCAATTCATAATCTAAACGCCTTGAAAACTCAGAACTGCATAATATTACAGGAACACATACAGAGGTCACAAAAGGAGTGTCACACACACACACACAAAATCTTACTTTTTGAGGTCAACATATATGCTCTGCCTTTTAGGTCATAGCTCTGGCCTTTATGCACTACTATAGATAGTGAGAGTTTGAACAGGCAAGTGACTGGCATAGCCTCTGATGGCACCTCTGAGGGCATGCAAGCTATGATACTTACTTAAATTTATCTTCTGCATCGCTCTGAACTCACAATTGTGGCTATACAGCACAATCTTCCTTAGACTGGGATGTAGTGTGCAGTGAAACAGCTGAAGAAAAAAGCTTGAAAAAGAACATCCCACCAGGAACTTCTGTTGTTGCCTGTCAGTGTGAGAACCCTAACCAGTCGAGAAGCAACCTGTCTGTATGTGAAAGGACTGTAAGATTTCTGGACAAGAATTTGAGGTCTTTTAATCTCCTAACAATGTTAAGATAGTAGATTTTGTGACTAAGAAGATGAAGAAAAATTCTGGTACTCTTTATAATTCAAAGCATAAAATTTAATTCAGTCCTTAATCCACAATTTGTTTTGATTTGAATGCAATGGCTTATTATTATATTGCTTTTGTAGAGGGAGAAAAAAAGACATAAAAGCACAAAAACTTCCAGGATTTTAAGTCCTTAGACAAGACCAAGAAAGAATTCACAGGACAAACTTCCAGCCAGAGCAGTGTAAAGTTATTCTGTGCATTCATTTCCTGAGTTGATTTTCAGTATCTCACATAACAATACAATGCTGTACTTTAAAACATTTGCAACAGTACTTGCAGGACAGCAGCACAGTGTGTTAGCACAGCCAGTTCTCCAACAAAAGTTGTTACCTCAGAAGAGCTCTGTCTACTACAGGGGATACAATACTTGGGCAAACTGTAATGTTGAATGGTAGAAATAAAAACAGAATTTCCAACATACCCTATTTGAAGTGCAATCCATCTAAGCTTGTGATTATTGATACCAGGAACGACTCACGGGGGAGTAGCCCTGAGCAAGGAGCATGTTCTCCAGTTTACCAGCAAGGAGCAAGACACACACAATTTTTTTTGTTAGGTGATGCATTCATAATCCCTCACCCATGTGACTTCTCTGAGGTCTACTAAAAAGCAGGGGCATGCCACACACTTTAGTTCACCAGAGGTATTAATAAGGTCTTCTTTTTTATTACTTCTATTCTTGTTTTGGTTAAAAAAAACAAAGGTGGCTGGGCTAAGTATCTTTAAGACATTCACCTTCTCCATCAATTGAGTCTGAACTGAATGACAGGTTCAAAAGCTTTTTAGGAGAACTGACACCTAGGCACATACAAGTTAGGAAAGCTCTCTGGTTTTATGGGTGAGCATAAATTATTTATGTCAGAGACCAGAAGAGTCTGAAAATCAGTACCTTTTAGTACTTCCACATTCACACACCGTCTGTGTGAATAATAAGCCAGTTTAGTAGACAATTGCCAGCGATATTCCCCAAACTCCCACTGTCTGCTATTAACCCAGAGCTGGGGAGACTGGGACTCCTGTTGTCTTTCATCTCTGCACCTGTTTCCTGGTTTTTACCTACTATTTTGTTATATGAATAATTGAAATATTTTAAATGTAATTTCTAGTTGATTATCCTGTATTCAAGTAATTGTTGTAATTATATGTAACTAAATAAGGTAAATATGGGTAATTATAATTACAACGCACAATTATGTAATCTTATCAACTGATAGTGTTTGTAACATCTGCATTTAAATTACTTTCACATGCTGATTCCATACACTATATTCCATTGCCATCTAAATGTATTAATGTGCCTACATGACTGCCATCTGCGAGGTTCTATACGAAGGACCTAAGTGGATCCTGTATTAAAGGAAATGAAGTGCATCTTACTTTAACAAGAGTCTGAGTAATAGCAATGAAAACTCAAAACCAATAAGGACTGTTCACTGAAAAACTTCCTTATTTGTGAGATAATTTTCTGAAAAAGTCCTGAATGCTGATAGGCTTACATGAAAAGCACCTTCTGATTTATCACCATCAGGTTGAATTAAAAGAAAAAAACACACCAATATGATTTACAGCTTTGACTATCTCTCGTCAACAAATTATTTAAATAAAATCACGCCACATCACTTGAGTGCCTGAGACTTAAGCTTCCAAAAAGTTCATAAAGTCTAGAGTATACATATTTTGGGGTACTATTTTGATTACTGTTCTGTTTCTTTCTGAGTCTCTCCTATTAATCTCCTCCCATTTTAAAGTAAATACGAAATAGCAGAATAATTTAACAAGGTTTCAGAATTTTTACACATATCCAATTGCTACTAGACTATTCTCACATACCAATGGAAAGCCTTAAATGTTATTTCTTAAGTTAACAAAACAGGCTGACTTCAGACATACTCATATTGTAATATTATTCCCACTCACTACTTATTTGAGAACCATTATTAGATTTTATTTTAAATTCTGACTTTGTTCAATCTGCAATTCATATAAGGCCAATTAACATAATAACTCTAAAACACAGTACTCTTGCCACTCCTGGATATTTCTTACCTATTCCATGTAATATGTTACTTTCACATGATGCAAGTGTAAAATGTAATTACTAATGCTATTGTACAAATAACTCTGGAGATCTATAAAAAACCAACTCATCACATATAGCACCACTGTCAAAGTATTTTAAACCAGAAATTATAAATAAAAGCTTATTCGCAACACTTAAATATAAATGAAATGCAGATTATGTTATTCTGTGTGTAGCCAAGCATGTGTTTTGGTCTTGGAAATAACCAGTAGGCAGCAGCAGCCTGCTGTAACAAGCAACGTGCATGATGTTTACATGTACAAGGGTGCTGCGCACTGAATCTTAGTGTACAGAGCAGTTCTTCCACATGATACATTTTATCCCTGGTAGGATAAGAACAGTATTCTTGCATTTAAGAATATGCAATTAAAAAAAATCAGTAGAGGGAAATACACATTTCTGAGGAAACATCCTGAGTAGTTAGGTTGATACACAGCTTTTATACATAACACTTACCTTTCTGGATTATTAAGAGATTTCAGCCTCATTTGGAGAATTCTAAGCTTGTGCTTTGGGCCTATCAAAGTCTTCGTAGAAAAGGTCAAGGAAATTTTTGATATTTTGTCAAGGTCTTGATGAAATCCAGCTAGTATTTTGACTCTTTTATATTGCTGAAATGTTGAAGCTTCACTAAAGAAAAATATTATTTCTAGTCAGGGTTTTGTTAGATTAGTAATATTTAGTATTACTAAGCATTATTATTAAGGCCAGAAATCCTGTAAGATGCATCAACTTCGAGTGTTCAGACTAAGGACACCTAGAACTGGATTCAAATCAGTACTATGCAAGATCCCAGGCTAGTTCATGAACAGAGAGAGGATCATTTCAGTTTGAGAAGCATTGCCTCTGACACTGAGGCATAGCCAGGAAAAGGAACAGTGGCTAGCTTATGATAAGGTTTGAGTTGGAAGGGACCTTAAAGATCATCTAGTTCCAACCGCCTCCCACTAGACCAGGTTGCTCAGAGCCCCATCCAACCTGCCTTTGAACACTTCCAGTCATGGAAGTGTTCATGATACTTCATTATAGTTTTTTTGACTTGCAAGTTAGCCAGTTAAATGGTTTAGGAAACCCAGAAAATAAGTCCTATAAAGTGATAAAAAAGATTTAGAGACAAAGCACAACATACCTATTCATCTCCGATTCTACTGTGTTTCCAGCATAATCTGTTATTTTAATTTTAATGAAACCTCTCCTAATACTTTTATTCCAGGTAGTAATATACAGGATATAGTTATACACTGCAAAAAGAAACAGAAAATAATAAGATTCAAAGAATTACCTCAACAGGATAAAGATGCTATTATCACCCTGTTAAAAGTATTCCCTGGTTGATGATTGGAAGTGACTCTTTACATCTAAGTTACTAGCTTAAAGCAGAACAAGAACACCATTAACAAAAAGTAGCTTCTACCAAATGGCTACGTGGAGTTCGGTATAATTAGTATATGACTTCCTCCACTTCTTACATTGAAAGGATTTTCCTCAGAAAGGTACTATCAGAATTATCATGAAGAGTCTGACCTGTCTAAGAAAAAATTGCAAAATCAAGCCCTAGCTTGCACCTTCAGGTTTTGGCAAGCTCTGCAAAGAGGGGATATTCGAGCTATGAGTGTAGCAACACTATCACATTACACACAAAAATTACACATCCAGAAAACAGTTTGGGTACATTGGTAGGGAGAGGGCAGGAAGAGCATTAGCACAAGCTTTGTTTATAGGTGAAGTGGGCAGTTAGCTAGGTGAGCAGAAATCAGGGGGTAAAAATGGAAAAGAGACATTATTTCCATGCCTCACTTGCCCAGCCCAAGCGGCGACAGCAGTAAAGGTGTCTTCAAGAACCCTTCCTTCAGAGAAGGCAGCCTGCCAAAATCTTTGCATGGATCCTAGAAAAATTGCATGGGAAGACTGAGGAAGAGGAGAGGGGTCTGATTGCTTTCCCAAGCTCCAGTCCCCTCTCACTCCCTGGGAGGGTCCATAGCTTCAAGAATACAGGCTGGACTCCCGAAGGTGGCATCTTCCACGCACTTGCACAGTGCTGAGCTGCTGTGTTGTACCCTTGGAAACCCTGACCTGGCCTTCTACCTCACTTCTGCAACCATCACTAATATTGTAACTGTGCTATGGCCAGCCAGAGGAAACAACTATACTACTCACAAAGCAAGGAAGCAAATTCAATGTAATATCTTTTTTGTATGTTGCCTTTTAACCCTTTCTCCTAAAAGACCAAGCCTTACCTCATATGAAAAACTTGCCCTGCTCAGGTTTCCTCATGATTTCAAACATGTAAGAATTGAAATTATTCTTTAGTTAATCTATATCCTATTTTTCAGACTGGATTAGTAGACTCATTTTTTTTCTTGGCTTTGCATATTTCTCCTTAAAGTTATGCTGTCATTACAACGTTTCTTATTCTTCTCTATGCACCTCCTTCTATGTTTGGTAATATTTCTCTCCCTCTATTCTCTCTTCTACCACCACTGTCCCAGAATACTACAGAGTACTACCTCTGCAGTGTACTCTTTCCATCATGAGGATTCCGTCTGGTAGGATTTTTGACAAATGCCCAGATTTTTATATGTGTGAGAGTAAAAGCAAAGGCGTATTTCTGCCAGAAGAATAAACGAGGAGACAGATCTAGCAGTCTGTGAAGCCTTGAGAGCATGGAGCAGCAAAGCCCAAGCAGACAGCAGCTGGGGAAAACAGTAGTAGCAGGTAGCTGAAAGACCAATAGGAAGATGAATTATTTCACATAAAATCTATGTCTTCCATAACGTCTCCTTGGCACCTTGGAAGAAACAATGATGTGTGTACTACAAGAAGAGATATTCAGTCCCTTGTCACAAAATTTGCCAAGATTATGGAAAAAGCTAATGGGAAAACTCAATTTCGCCTGAATTCCCTGTAAAATCTATCCCCATACCCCAATCAAAGAATTTTAAACATAACCAGTTAAAAGAGTGTGCTAACATTTGTTTATGGTGGTAAAATCTGTTAACAAAAACAGAGAGAGTATGAGAACTTAAACTGGACCTCTACAGGGATAGGTAGATATCTAAATTGATGCAACTAAAGCCCATGCCATGAGAGTTCACATCTATGAAGTATAAACCTGAAACAGTCAGCTAAGCTTTCCCTCAGGTATTTTACTCGTAGGAAGACAGATGTTTAAAAGCTTTAGCTGACTGTGGGGTGTTCTCCTCCAGGGGTGGAGATCAGAGGTGTCTCTTTTTGTCCCTCACCCAGGACAGTCTCGCTTCCCATTTTTGCTCTCTGAAAATGGTAGCAACAATCTAAGCAGTTTCTCTCAGTCCAGCTTTTTCCCTGTGACTTGATTCTCATTTTCTGTCTTCCTTCTTCCTCTTGACAGTCCATCTCATCACTTTTAAAGATACATTTATTTCTCGGTTCATGTGTTGCCTACTGTTCTGCCACAGCAGTTAACAATAACTTTCTACTTTTAACATCTTATAACTCCAGATCAGATAATAAATAACAGACATAACATTACATAAACAGTTTGTTATGTATGTATTCAGTCACTCACTGCAGAATGGGTCTTGGTCTGAGGTATCAAAATAAGCTTTCGTTGGTGAACTCTTTGGGATTAACACTTTATTCCATCTATCAGCATAATAACCTGAAATTCAACATTTAAATATTTCATCTCAGACATTTAGCGAAGTCATGATACACATATAATTACACAAAAGAAACTCACCCAAAGTGACAGATTTGGCTTTAATTTTCTTAAGTATTTTCTGAGAAAGCAAGATTGACTTGGAAAATGCAGGATTACTCTGAATGTAGCATGCAAATATTTCATTATTCTAATATATTAGTATCAATAAAATTGTCATAATGTAATAGCTGGAATCTACTTAGTCTAGAGTACTAACACCAAAAAATAGGGCTCACAAACTCCTGCAGAGGCAATAAAACCAACCCCCCCAAAATAGCCCACATATTTGCAAAGAACAGTTACAGAACACCTTCAAATACAGTAAAACTTCTTCCTTTCATTTTTGAACCATTAAAAAATTATTTTTAAATCCCTTAGTCTATAACTGTGGATATTATTTAATAAAACGTTAGATACTCTGTAAACCTCCTACGCTTACGGATTTAATGTAGAAAGATATTTTTTTAATGTACAATTTTATCTATGTTTTTTTTCAAACCTGATCTAACTAATAAAGGTTGTACATTCTAATATAAGGATGTAAAAATGACAAGGTATGAATTGGAAGTTAACTTCTAATTACATATTTTATTTTTATCCTTAAGAACACCCTTCAAACTCAGAAATGCCCACACTATTATAGCTCTTTTTGAACCGTCACCAGATCCTCTCTAAAAGCAATAAAACATCAAACAACTAAAAACTCCTACAACTAAAAACCATGAAGTTGCTATAAACATTATTACTCTTAAATAAAAAGCATGGGTACTCTACAGATAATAACACACTGTGAAAGTCTAAAGTGATGAAATAAGTACAAGCAGTTTCTCCCCAGAAAGGAAATACACTGTGAATCCATTTAAGACTGGAAAGCATAATTATCAAAGACTAGGAACATTCAGCACTTGTGTCCAACAGAGATAATCATAAGGCAGACAAAGCCATAAAGTTTAAACTACTTTAAATAGTCTGCAGCTCTGCAGGTGATCAGTCTCAACAGATCACTTTAAAACTGCACTACAGATCTCTGGAGTAGCCCCAGAAGTAGTTTGGATTTCCCAGAAAATCTCACCCAGCCCAGAGCAGAAATCTTAGTTCTTACCCAGTACTGGACAGGACATTGGCTGGAAAGCTTCACAATCAAGACATTTTCCTCTCTTGTAATCCAAATAAGAGTCACAGGGATATGTTATTATGTTGCACTTTCCTTTCAAAGACGATAAGAAGAGGAACACAGCTCTTTGATGGTCACACTTAAAATACTCAATTCCTTCAGTCAAGAAAAAATGAAGTACAAAAAGAAAATATAATTATTTTTCTTCATTAAAGAAAAGGCATTATGAAAGTAATCCCATTTACCTGAGTCACTTTTAGTTAATCGTGCTTTTATTCTCTGATTAGTTAACAATCAAGTGTAAAAAATGGATGTACACACACAAGAAGAGATTGAAGGTTGTTTTGAATATCACAGAGAAAAGTACAGAGAAAAGCCTACATGGTTTAAAATGCAAGAAATAATCTACTAATTCCTATCAAATTTACAGAAATATTGTAATAATGCATGAGTCTGAGTTATACTCTGCTGTGTTGCATCCCATGCTGAACATTTTGGCAGAAAAACTACCAGGAGGAGTATTTCTGTTTCTTCTTTCCAGTTTCTTTGGGTAATTAATTCCTTCCTCTCCTACCAAAACAAACTATGAGAATTGGAATTTTCCTGCACTCACAGACACACAAGTGGAAGCCCTATCTATGCTTTTGCAGTAGCTCCAATTCATAGCAGCACTGTGTGGATTAGTAACACAAATTTGAACAGTCATAAACATATTAAATAAAGAGTAAACAAAACCAATGGGCAGCAACCTTGCCTAAGATATATGGAGGTTATAATAAATAAAATTCTGCAGCAAAAGATCATGTCATAAAACTGTTTTCATCCTTGAGCTTAAAAAACCCATCCAAAACCTAGCTCATCATTGTCAACCAGGAGGAACATGAGACACAGTGAAGACTTGAAAGCCTTGTCATGCATGTCATATGCAAGTGATCCTGTCCAAACCACTTGGACACAAACATCTTCCCCCATGCTTAGCCTTACAGAAACACAGACAAATAATTATCACTAGATGGAGATCATATATATAATATATATATAATTCCATCATTCCAATAACGCTGGTATGACTGAATATGCCTGCTTAGAATAAGACCTTTGTTTAAAAAAAAAAAGTGTCAAACTCCTTTGTTATTTGCTGAGTGGGAAGGGAAAAGAAAGAATACAGTGCCTTCAGCCCCCATAGTACTGAGTATTTGCAGTGTTCATTGAATTCAGTTTTATCTTTTTTTTAATTCAATTTAAAACTGTTTTCTCATTAATTGAACATATTTTTTATTTACCACCGAACAGTGTTTGTGGACAACCAGGTTGATCCATTCCTCCATTTGGATAGAAATCAATGGTTCCTAAAGGTTTCTTGAAACCTAGTGCTAAAGTAAAAAAACAATAAATAATAATAATGTTAAAAAGCAGAATTATGCAGGTAATTATTTATTATTAAAAATTTTAAGGTCTTAAAGGATTTTTTGGTGCAAATATGCTGGTCTTTTACTAATGAGTTAAATCTCATGACTTTTTTTCTTTTTAAGAAAGTTACACATATATAAGATGCTGTACTCAAATGTACACAAATTTGTGTAAGACTCCTCCTACCAAAAAAGAAAATCAATAGAAGTAACTAGTTAGTGCTGTAGCTGAGACATAATTTGCATCAAGCAATTTAATAAGTCCATTTTCTCTTCAACAACAAAAAAATCTTTCCTGATATAATTTTCATTACAGTAATATTTTCTATATTGTGCACGACATTGGATTCTGATCTACACTAACATAAGCAGTATATTAAGTAGGAAAATCTGTATCTATCTCATAAAAGACCATAAGTAACATTTAGTCAATTTTTACTGTGCATTATTTATATTCACATAATTAGAGCATTACTGAAATCAGTATTTTACAGCTTCACATACAAATTTGTACAGTAAAATTCTTTATTTTTAATATTATTAAAGAATCTGATATGAAACTACGTAAAAAATGGGACAAGTGTAGTAGGTTTGAAAGGTTTAGTAATGGTTTTGTAAAAAACCAAACCAGATTATAGAATGGATGAAGAAGACTTTATAACGTTCTTCATTTTCACCTTACAGCAACATGATTTAGGATTTTAAGCAGTGGATCTGTACAGTGTAGTAATGTGACACAGCTGAGACCGGCTGTGTCAGAAGATAGTTTAATTCAGTGCTAATCACATGCTTACAACTTCTGTGTTCACACACACTAGCACAGCAAAAGCATGTTTATGCTAAACCCTTTTGCAAACAGCAGTATCATTAATGCAATAGGCATGCTTTTATTCAATGTGCAGTCCTCTTTTTTCATATTCAGAGAGAAAGTACTATAAGAAAAAATACATAAATGACAGTGGTGTAACCACTAATTTTGCATGACACTAAATGGACTTATGACTATGTTTTTATCTACATGTGCTTTCAGTTAGCTGTTGGACGTAAAAGTTAATCAAGTATTTTCAAGCTGAGTCATGAAACTCCACTCACTCAATAACATGGCTACTCATGTCAAAACTGAACCTAAAGAGCCCTACTTTGCTTAAGTCATTAGCAAAGTTAAGTTTCAGTTTCTGCATGAACAGGTATCATAATATACCATATGATTTCAAAAGCATAGATATTGTCAGAAAGCAACAGAACAGAAATCCACTTTGTAGCAGAAAATATACTTCTGCAACAGTATTTGGATGTTAGTGAAATAATAGCTTATCCCATCTCTTTTGCTTTCCTGCCTTTCCTCAAATTGAAATAGGAAAGTTAAGTCTATGTTATTACCATCAGTATCTGAATGGATTACATCAACAAATTGTGCATCACTGCGATCCAGCCTCCACTCAGGTGGTTGTCGGGTGAATGAAGGGCCTGCTGGATCAAGACCTAAAGGAAAGTAACACTAACATTACGGATCCCGAGGTCTGTTTCCACAGATGTATACAAGAGCAACATTTTAGCATTATTAATCAATCTATGTTCATTTTCCTGGGATAATAATAAAAATAATACCTAGCACAATTCTTCTCTATCTTCCATTCCTCAACTTGTTAAGCAAAGCAAAATGGGTTCCTACCAGAAGACTGATAAAACCAGATCTTTAAAGTTCTCTCTCCCTCCTTAATAAGTTGTGCTCATTTCCTAGTGAAAAATCATAAGCCAAAAGCATTAGGGGTTGAATCAGCAGAATTAATTTTGTCCTTTCCCCCCCCCAAAAAAAAAACAACAAACACTATACCTATTAAGTACTTCATAAAACAAAAAGTACAAAGTAACTACTCTCACCACTAGAACACAAGATGGAGACATCTGGGATGGAAACAATTTCAAACATGGCTCAGTCATTTTATCAGTTGTGTTGAAATGACGTACGAAAGAACAACTGTTACATGCAAGTAAGTGAAAGACCACTTTTCAACCGCTTTTTCACCCAAAGGAGGTCTGGAAATCTTATCTAAATTCCAATTGAAACTCAGCTATGACCAACGAGATTACAACTGAGATCCACAAAATGAGCTTTATATCCAGGAGGAGGGAATATGGGTGGCAAAACATTTGAAGCATAAATAGTATGTATTCTCATTCAAATTAGAGATAGGGAATTGTTGTTGTGCAGCCCTGAAGCCTCATAATTTTCAAGATGGTAATTTCTGTCCTTCACAGGAAAGTGAAATTGTTAGCTGAGGTTGCTCTGCTCTTGTTTTCTTTCCAACAAAAACACAGACAAAGAGGGGGAAAGAAAAAGCAGCAAAGGAAAATACAACTGTCAAGGCAAAACATACTCCCTCACTTACATGAATCTCAATTGCATTCTCACTGATTGAGAGACAAGGCTAGTGTATGACCTCAGCTTATCCAAATTGGTATTAAAATTTAACTGGCAGGTGGGCTTTAAGAAATGGTCTAGGCAGGTTCTCTGTCAAGATCAAGATATCTGAGACCCAAACTACCACAGAGCATCACGGAAAGCCAGGAACACACATTCATAGTACTCCAGGTAAAAAAGGTAATTGTTTTAGTCTGCTAATTAGTTCTGTATTTCAGAAACCCACAAACAGTAAAAAAGGGACCTTAAAGATCATCTAGTTCCAACTCACCTGCATGGGCAGGGACACCTCACACTAGACCATGTTGCTTAGAGTCCCATCTACCCTGCACTTGAACACTTCCAGGGGTGGGGCTTCCACAACTTCCCTGAGCAACCCCTGTCTCAACTTGTTTGAAACAGTATCAGACAGTCACTTAAGAGGTTATGAGCCTTGCATCTTTGGACTTTTGTTTTTATTAATCCATATTTGTAATTATAAGATAGTGATTGAAACATTTAATATCATTTCATTTTCCTCTGAGCTTCTGAGTTTAGAAATTGAGTTGATCTACTAGCTTCCAGTCATTGTACAGAGAGGACACAGATCTGCTAGTCTAGCATGGAAATCAAGGCTGTCCCAAACCAGTGACATGGACAAACTGTAGGGAATTCTGTCAAGTGGAAATCAGTATTCATAACCAAAGGAATACTGCTGGACCCTATCAGACTCTCAGAATAGGCTCTGACTTGAAGATTACTGTAACAAAAGGTGAGGAGTCTCTAAGTCTCTTTCTTAAAGCTTGCTATGGGCTCCTCTCATATTTTGGGAAAAAACCCAACAACTTAATATTCTGAAGAAAGTGTTTGCAGCTATGAGTCATAAAGAGAGGTAACTGCTTCCTTTCAGCCTGAAAACAGGTGATCTCTTAAATGCTAAACTCTATGAGGATCCAACAGCCCAGTCTCCCCTTACCAGCTTTTCCGATACTCAGCTGAGTCAGCTTCCTTCTCAACACTCTAGCTACAGTGAGTTTGTCTCTTTCACAAGAAGCATCTAGAGCCTGTGCACCCACTTTAGCACTGAGGACTCTTCCCTAGGAACCAGCATCTAAAAGTTAATCCTCAACTTCATGCAGCCCTGGTCCTGAAAGATGTATCCACGTGAGGGTATTGCAGTTTCCACTGTATGCACCATTCCCACAGATGAAAATGCTGACAATGCAAACAAGTATGAGGTAGGATTTGCAGTATCCATACACAGGTTGCACATCTCATCTAAGTGCCTTGTAGGACATAACATTTTAAAGCCTGCACCATATTCAGATACCGTAAACTGAAACATATCTTTGTGCCTGGTTCCTGTGGTCTGACCAGAGCTTTTGATCTTCCCTTCAGAGGGACCTGACTTGCTTCATCAAGTAGACGGAAAGTCATGTAGTATGTCATTTAACTGAAGTGGTATTTGGATGTAGCACTCAATTTTCATTTGAGAGACTAGAAGTAAGCCAGTTGGAAAATTTCTACGACAGCTTATGTCTGCTGAAGGCAGACATTCACAATTATCCAAAATTTTATCATGGATATATTTTTCCCCTTGTATGTTACTAATTAATCAGTTTTTATTTGTCAATATGTCAGTGTTATCTATGTGATTCACAGCTATGACAATGATACAAGGTACATTAGAATACATGTATGGAGATGAAAAAAGCCTTACCTGTAATTCTGCCAATTTTGCCATTATACTTCTGCCCAACAAAACCAGCTATATGAGCCCCAAGACTAACACCAATTATATACATAGTGTCAAGAGAAGTTCCACCTACCTGTGAAGAGGAAAAAAACCACACCAAAACCACAATTACACACAGGGTTAACTGAACAGAACCAGTAGACTCATTTAGGTTTCACTCCCTAACTTTAAAAACAAATGGAAATGAAAAAGTTATTTTTGGTTTGCCATTCTGTACTAGTTAAAAAGTGCACTAATAATTAAAATCTTCCATGAGAAAAATGCAAAAAGGAAGCCTGAGTCACATTTATTCCAAACTGTCACACTTCTTAGAAAGGGAGCAGGGGAGGGAAGAGGAAGACATCTACCAGATACAAGAAAGATGAACCAAAACTATGAACGAGGAAAACAAATAAATCTGCCTTATAAAATCAATAGAAAATATGATACCATTAACAAACATTTATGTCACATAACTGCTGAATAATGGCGCCAAATACACACCTGCAGGAAAGCCTTAAGATGCCCATTGTACAAAGCAGACAGTATTTTTAAAAATCTGCTGAGGAACTCTGAAACAGTACCAGCAGACCTGTTAGAATCTCTGCAAAGTGATAGGATGATACATGGATGTGACATATGAATGTCTCAAAATGAATTAACAAATACCTCACAACAGCTTGCAAGTGTGTATCTGATAGCTGTGGGACACAAAACACTCTCCCACCATCACTTGGATGAATCTCACAACAAGATTGGGACAAGTGTGTTTCTCACTCATTGCTTTGTCAGGCAGATGTGTAGCCAGCAATTAACAAAAAATCTGTATAAATAAATTTGCACCTTTTTAACACACTCTGGATTGGACTGTTCTTATGGTCTTATTTTATTTTTCCACTCCATAACAATAAATGTACTGTCATAATTAAAAACTGCTATCAGTATATCTAGTTCCAAAGGGATGATTCTGATAGGCTCTCTCTTCTTTCACCACATCTTTTATCAAAATGCTTAGTTTTTCACTCAAATTCCTCATGTATTATTTTCTTAGTGAGAATGGCTGGGAAAATAAGTGGTGAGAGAACAAAAGAAAACTCAAGTGATAAATCTAACAATAACAAAAATAAGATTATAACATTTTTTGTTCCTTTGATTAAGCCATAAATCTAAAGCCCAGTTAAGATTACTGGCATCAATAATTGTTTAATTTGTTTCACCTCTGGAATCAGGATGTTTATAACAAACAGTTGCATCTTTGTCAGGGATTTCTTCTTCATTTAAATTCTTTCACTATACTCCTTTAATAATAAAAATAGTAGTGGAATGTTTTCATAACTTTTAATGCTGCATACTCTTTGAACATCTCTCATTTCACCTCCCCATTGGTGCATTTACACTATCCAGAAAACCTAAAACTTCCAGCTGGCTAAAGAAATCAGATGCACTCCTAAACATACTTCAGGGAAAGGGAAATAAGAACTCTGGTGAAATTAAAGATACAGAGTAACAACTGCAAGAAAAGTTGGTAAATACTTTGGTAAAGAAATATAATTTTGTATCATGTATCATTCACTGGCCTTCTCTTCAAAGATCCATTTAAAATATCCTCTTTAAATATCCATTCTCTTTTAAATATCCACTCCCACCCAAACTATGCTATTTAAATTTATTCAGATACAACTCTCTGCCTTACCAGCATCTGGTCAATATAGGTCTTCAGTATTTCTGCAACTTTTCCGCAGTTTTCAACAGCAGTTACATAATTCACAGTTGTAGCACCACGATTCCAATCAACTATAATAAGATTAATATCTTCTGAAGACAGTAAGAGCTTCTTCATATCACCTAGCCATGCTGGTGCAGATCCTGTTGGTCTGAAGCCATGAATAACAAAGACAACTTTCTTGGAGGTATTGAAGTACTTAGATGCAGTAACATTGTGTTCAATGAGTCTCTCAGAACAATTTGGATTTTCTCTCGTGTACAGAAGTAGCTGGACTTGGAGTTCTGTTCCAGACAAAGCATTGCCTATATTAAGATCTGTAAATTCAGGGCATTCTGTCTCCTCATCTGAAAAAGATTAACATGTTAGACAGTCATTTGTTGAGTTAGACCATCTGAAATACCATGTCTTAGCTTCTCTTCCCACATTTTTCCACTGAAAGCGGAGAACTTCGTCACTCCAGACCTTTGAAACTAGGTGCCAGAATGTGCACTCTGAACCCTTTGAATATAAACTTAACTTTTCTAATTGTTCCTGAACAATCTATTTTCTCCAGAATAAATACAAATCAGTAGTCAGTGTTGGTAAGACCCTTGGCTTAACCATCAAATTTAGGTTCTCAGAATTTTTCCACAACTAGTGTGTGCAGTATAAGCAGGAAGTCCCTTGTGGTTGTTTCTTCCTCTTTTAGCCAGGGTGAAAAAGTTGCCAATCCTTAGGCCTTTTTGTTTGATCTAGAGATAAGACACAGTTGCCTGACAGTACGGGGATGATCCAGAAAATTTCTCTATTTTTGGATCACCATAAGGACACCACTACCAAGAAACTAAGAAAGAAGAAACAAAGAAATCTGTTCTGAGTTTGAAAAAGTAAGAATCTGAATGGTCAGTGTACATAATAACACAGGAAAAACTGTAATTTTTAGCATTTCTGTACTCAAGGCAGTTGTGTATACAAGGTTAAGCTGTAGATCAGTCAGGATCAACAAGAGGACGGACATTTTCAGAAGAGTCTAAAAAGGCTTAATTTTTTTCCCACTTCAGGATTCTAAGCACAATGCTGACAGCTGTCACAGTTCAGTACGGCTACTTCACTTACACTATGGTGTTAGCCAGTGTATGGCCAAAGAAATCTGGGCCAACCTCTTGACTTCTAGTGGGATATGTTACTTCACACAAGGCTTTTCTTTGATACTTGATGGCAACCTTCTCTATCTTCCTGTCATGAACAACTTTGTAAAACAAGAATCAGTAAACTTCTAGAAAGCAAAAGTAGGAAGACAAAGAGTGTCTGCTCATTTCCTCAAAAAATAATTAACAAGTAACCCAAATTTCTCAGAAGCTCTGAGTTACAGGAAAAGCAGTTCTAGCTCTTCTCATTTTCCCAGCAAGTGGCTAGCTGGCAGAACGAAATCCACCACACCTGCACATCTGAGACGGACAGAGAACCCCCACAGGTTTATAAAGCTGGGAAGGGCGGGTATTTGGGGTTTACAAAGTATCTGAAAAAATGTATTTGATGCTATAGTGCAGATCTAAACAAGACTAAATGTGAATTACAGCATTTAATATGCAGCAAAGGTGCGGTAAAGACAGTAATTCATTTAGGGAACTAGACAAATCACCTCTAGGCTAAACCATGTATATACAATGACTAGTCCAGTGTCCTCTGGAGGGGACATCATAAAAAATAACAGAAATGGTCTGAAACTTCCTGCCTCAAATCAACCAGACAAGTTTCATGCCTATCATCACCTTATGACAACAGCTACAATTATTACATCTGGGAAAAGTTACAAGTAATTTTATTTCAAAATAAATTTCACAGTTCTCATTTAGACATTGAATAATTTAAGTAACTTTTACTGTGATTACTGGACAGATTATTAACTACCTAGTGATATAGGAAGGTAACTCAGTTTCATTGCTGATACTCACTTAAGAAGATCTTAAATCGAGAACTGTTCAGCTGCAGTTGCCTAGAATTTACTGAAAATAATATTCAGAACCTGGTAAATTGTCATACAGGTGACATGATACGGAGATATTAATGGAGTGTGTTGCATATAATCTCTAGTTTTCATGTGACTATGACAATGAAACTAGAGTAGAAATTCTATTACGTGAATGTCATATATAAAGATAAATGATAATAAACGGGCTTGATTTTTTTTTTTTTTTTTATATTCTGATTCAAACTACAAGATTAAACTCCTTCATTTTTGCCTAATATTGTTCACAAATCCAAGTTCAATCATTAGTCCTTATAATTTACTTCTACATAGATAACATATAAAAAATTCATGTTAAGATATTGTTGAAGTGTTCCTCCTTACCAATTGTAATGTTTCAATTTCTTATCATTTGATTGGTAAAAATAAGAATTAATTATTCTAAAGCCAGTGGAATGACATACACATATAACAGAGGCAGTCTTGTTCACAGAAGGCTACAAGATTAAACTCCTTCATTTTTGCCTAATATTGTTCACAAATCCAAGTTCAATCATTAGTCCTTATAATTTACTTCTACATAGATAACATATAAAAAATTCATGTTAAGATATTGTTGAAGTGTTCCTCCTTACCAATTGTAATGTTTCAATTTCTTATCATTTGATTGGTAAAAATAAGAATTAATTATTCTAAAGCCAGTGGAATGACATACACATATAACAGAGGCAGTCTTGTTCACAGAAGAGAGAAATCTATCACAAGGAAATAATTAACTGATGAAACCTATTTACTATCTGAGAAATGTCAAAAGGAAACAACTTGTTTACTTACAGCTGTGAAATGACAACAGTCATTATTTGAAAAGTAAACAAAGGAAAAAAAAGTTTACATCTTTTCTGTGGAACAAGGCAAGTACTAAAAATAGATATATTGATTAAATATTTTGAATTGTTTAGCAGGGAGTCATTAAGGGGAGATTTTCCAAACCCCTATTTCTGATTGATTACCTGAAGGAATACCCAGCTGCCCTTTGTGCAGGCTTAGGGTAGTAGCCTCATAAACTATTCTGTACTGTCAGAACATACAGGTAGGTGTTGGGCAGCTACATATGCAGTTTAACTCAGTTAAACATTCCTGTGTATGTTTCTAAGCATTGTGAGTGGCCTCTGTGGTTGAAAAGGGGGAAATCTTAAGTGCACACTGACTTTTTCTTGACTAAATTTTACTATTTGAATGCATAATGCACAACTGGAAAACCTGTCAACCTATCAAATCAGCAATAAACAATAAATGTATGTTCATATGATAAAACTATTTCACAATTACCTCTTTACTTTGTACAAAGTGCACATACCTGAGTGTCTCTGTGCGAAGTACAGCCAGAGATAAAGTATCAGGCTTTGTTCTGTTTACTTTAAAATGAAAACCTATGACTCAGTTTGAAAGTGATCAAATTCTCTTTACCAATTGTCTGCTCCATTAGGAATAATTAACAAGATTTAATCTCTTGGCCAATTTAAATGAAGGAATATTCATTTTTTATGCTGGAATAAAGCCAAGAGACTACATCACAAAGAATAAGCTAATGGTTCTTACCTGATTGCACGCAGTATATCAAACAGATGAAGAAACACAATTTCAACATGTGGAACTGGAGAAAAGCAGTATGTTATCCACAGACAAGTGGCAAACCTAGTGTTTCCTTGTAGTATGCTGGGTTTCTAACTTAACAGAATGCCACCAGTGAAGTAAGTGACTCTCAGAGAAGGAAGCAGAAAGCAAATCTGTATTTAAGCTTCTGCAATTCATGACTCCTCCTATTGAATGACTTCACTAGGTAGGGTAGTTTCTGATCTTTAAGGGTTGGGACGGGTTTTTAATCTGTTTCCTTCTCTCTTTGGCTCTCAGGAGATTTACACGTAAGCAATGAATGTTACATATTACTGATAATTCTGTTACATGCATGGACTTTAGCAAGCAGAGTAACTAGAGGTACATGACATTAGAGACCCACTGCGTGTCTTTCTTTAAGTGTGTCACTCAACTGCAATTAGAGGCGCTCAGATGGGCAAAAGAAACTTAAAATGAAAAATCATCCTGGTAACAGAAGGGTTTTTCTGTAAGATCTTGAAAACAATTCCGAGAACTCTATCTCTATGGATTATTTTTGCACAAATTTATCTTCTGAGCTTTTCCCAAGAAGTCATTCTGTAACCTAAATCCTGAGGATGTCTGAGAAAGTGCTTACATGGGAGAAAGATGGAGCTCAGAGACCCATAAATCTCACCCAGACAATGTGCTGGGTGGTTTGGGTATGTAACTTAACTTCATTCCCTCTGTATGCCCAACTACACAACAAATGAAAAAACACTTATTTTTGTGAAGCTCATTTATTTACAAACAAATTTCACTGCATAAGTACAAGATTACAAACTTCAATTTCTTGGAGTTCACAGTAAGGCAAACAGGCAGACAAAAGTTTAATTATTCAGGTGAGATATCAGGATGCTCAGTTTGCCTGTATCTGGCCCCCAATTATTTTCACTGTAGGGCAAAGAAAAACAAACCACAACAAATCAAATGAGAGAGACACACCCTGGAAATGTTGGGGTTTTTTATTTTGGTTTGGGTTTTTTTGCATAAGGTACCCTTCACAGTGCTTCTAAAGATAAGGTATAAGTCTCTTTCTTTTCCATCCACAACAGTTCAGGGTGTGTGTTATGTGTCATTATTTACTTTTACGTGATCAGTCTCCAGCTGTAGCAGACTTTAGGAAATCTCTTAAAAATATTTTCCCCTCTAAATGCAGCCACAAGGAGGAGATTCAGTATGTTCACTCATGAAAATTGACTCACCTTAGCCAATTACTTTTATTACTTTTTTGCTTCCATTTCTCAAAGTTGTCACCCTATTCTCAGTAAAGTTCACTAAGACAGCTCTTCCTTTGCATTCCCTCTTCACTTTGTCCAACTATTATTACAAAAACAGAGCCCCACTACATTATATATTACTTAGAACAAGTAAAGGTATAGTGTCCATTTGTCTCCTTCCCCTCTCTACTTTTTAGTATTGACTATTATTACAACTTCTCTTTGTTTTATCTGTGCCCTGTGTGCATTAGTGATAAATTAAACTATTGTTTTTCCCCAAGTTGAGCCTGTTTTCCCCTTGACCGTAATCTGAGAGTGAACCCTCCTTGCCCTTTGTCTTGACCCAAGAAGTTTCTAGCTGGCCTTCGAGGTTCACTCACCTTGGGGAGGTGAGTGAACAGCCACATGGCTGGTTCTTTGTTGTCAGTGAGGCCCAAACCACCACAGCTGAAAACCAGCAAGCCCATCTCATGCCTAAGTGAAGTTCTATGCTATGCATGTCGATATAATGACCCATGAAACAGTTGTAAAGCCCTCTGAAATTAGTGTCAGGAAAGGACTCCTTTACTAAATCAATACCCAGAAAGTTTTGCGGTATCAATCAGGATGTTGAACTACTGCTTGTTGGACTCATTGTCGTATGACAAGCGGATTTTGTTCACCTAGAGTGACGCTTATGCCACTTGGAAATTCATAAATCTTAACTACTGTTAGTGCTTACACTATAGTTTCTACAGACACCCCACTGTCAGGTAAATCCTTCAAGCTGACTGAGAGTTTCAGATATGCTGTCACAAACAGATCTGAGACCCTTGAAACCCAGGCACTGCCCATCCCGCTTCAACGCATATTGTTAGGCCCACTACTTTTCTGACAAGGATACACTTCTTCTCACACTGAAATTCTGTTACCTGCTCTGAAAGTGCCCATGCACACCAGTGGAAGATGCTAGCACTGCCTCTTCAGTGCTCTGTGTCTGTGTCCCACAGTGCTCAGGAGTACTGGAGTGGTACCTCCTGAACGAATGCTGTTGCTTTGGGGAGATCCCTCAGTCCAGTATTAAAAAACTCTCCAGATTGGCCAAGTATTCAAGTAAAAAAACCCACACATATTAAAGCTTCATTTTATTACACTACAAGATTACTATGTTTTAAAGGTAACAGAATGGCACTTTTACACTTCAGATTAACTGCACAAGTTTCTGATAAAGTAACAGCTAAAAACATTACAGCCTGGTTCTCGAGATTAAAACCAAGTTCTTACGAAAGCCTTGATACCCTGATCTGTGGTTATGTGTAAATGTATTTCCCCTTCTAATCTTCCCTCTACCCCAAGGATTTCATAATAATGGGGAATCCCATTCTCGTAGCCATTCTTATAACAATTTTCATTTCTTCTATGAATCAAGCTACTTCTCAGGAAAAAATAATCTCTAGCCACTAGCTTAAAAGTGCTGCTCCCTGTCAGGCAAGATGAAATCACAAGTGGCTTTTGCAACACAGTATGTTTTACTATGGAAAGAAAAAAAAAAAAAAAAGCAGCTGTTTAAAGATTACAAAGGAAAACAGCCTGACTGGCTGGCAGAAATTTAACTTATTCTGTATTTCACACTGAGGCTTGTTAGTCCTGAAAATTGATAATCCCTTTCTAAATAGACTTGACAAGTACATAACTAAACCTCCATTAAAGAAAGAATGGGCACTGAGTCTATGCTTGGGCAAAAAAAATCTGCAATATTTTTCCCATTGCTGCCAGCAGGATAGTTTCTCAAAACCTGCTCCTTTGTGAAACAACATTTAAAAAATATATACTAAATGCCAAATTCTGCACGTGGCTTGAAAACTGTAGGAACCAGGCAGCAGCGAGTTACGCAGTAGACAGAACTTCTGCCTTAAAGACAGCAACAGTAGGCCGGCGCTTTTTAAATCTTAAGAAATGTCTAACATCTACCGCTTTACACTTGTATTTTACCGGTAACTACCACAATGCTTTACCTCACTGGTGACCAAGGAAGGCCCTTGAGGGCTTTGAGGCTTCTGGAGCAGCTGCTGCCCGGCCCCGCTGCAGCAGCCGCGGCCCCGCCGGCCCCGGGAGGTGGCAACGGGAGGACGCCCCGGGCAGCCCGGACCTGTCCTGGGGAGGCCGCTCTCTTCCCGCCCTCACCGCGGGCCTCGGCGTCCCAGCAGCCGGGAGGAAACACCCCCAGGACACACACACCTCGGCCCGAGGTCGCGTTCCTGCACAGGACATGCTTCCTCTCGGTAGGCCTGGCAGGAATGATAATCGTTTCCTCCAGTCAGCAGGGAGAACCCGGGGAAGAAAGAAAAGTAAAAACGAGCCCAATAATCCAATCTGCACACAGCTGAGGTCAGTCTTTATTCCAGCTCTGCACAGAAAGGGGTGCTAGGCGGCAAACCCCTGAAGCCAGCAGCCCTCCCCCGCAGCACTGGGGTTATTTATACACCAAACACATGCAAGACTTGTCATCCCTGTCTCCAGGAACACCGCCATCATCCGGCTACCAGCCTGCTTAACTAACTCCCCGCTCCCGAGTAAAGTGCCAGTGCTCCTACTTCTCCCTGCGCCCGCTCAGAGGGCAGAGGGGTTCCCTGAGCAGCGCGTCCCTCCAGCCTGAGGGAGGGTATTGCCTGTTAATGCTTATTCTAGTATCTTCACGGAAACATCAGCCGCCGTTTCCAACTCTATGCCTCACTTAGCGCTTAAGGCGGAAGCCCTCACCAGGCAGCACCTTCCGTCCCCCTCCCCTTCGCACCGAGCCCCGCACAGCCACCCCCG